CAGTCCTATTGGAGTTTAAATTTTTATATATGCTGTTCCTAATTTCTAGAAAGTTTTCTCTGCCTATCTCTCCCTTGTAAATTGTATTCATCTTTCAAAACTCTGCTCAAGAGCAACTTTATGATATCTTGCCTGATCCCTTTCTTGCTCCCTTCACTGACCTTGTTTAGTCCTCTAGGACTGTACTCATCACACGTAACTACAGTGACCTGCTTAACATTTATTTTTGTACCTAGATCAAGAGCTCCTGGAAGAGAAGAATTATGTATTTTTCATCTTCCTACACCCCAGTTCCTCAGAACTGGAATGGACAGTTTTTAAGCAAATGAAAGATATGGCTTAGCCCAGATCATCCAGTGAGCAGACATTCGAGGTCATAAGGAGTAGTGTGTTTTTCTTTAGTGTCCTGTGAATGATATGAAACAGTAAAGCTATTAAAGAACTGAGGGATTTTAATTTGAAGTGAATGCCATAAGGCATTTTTTATTCCTACTATTATTTCTATAATCTTAAACTCAGATGCCACCCAAATAAAAACAATCTTTGACTCTGCCTATACAGAAAAAAAAGTAAAGTGGAGACTTGCTGATTATTCATTTAATTAAAAAAACAAACAATTATCTAAATTGGTGATTCAAACCACAAGAGCATATTTACTTGAATTACTTGGTTTGGCTGTTTACAATGATCAAATCAACTAGATTGCTCTCGACTTCTTTTCACCTTGGCCCATGAGTCCTCCAAGGTATTTCTCACTACCTTAGAGATGTGGTTTATAAGTAAACAAGAATTCCTATGGTTCTCTTTAGGTATACACCAAGCCTTGGGCTGCTGAAAACATAAAGTACTCCATTCTGGCTCTTTGGGGAAAGACTGCATGTGTGTTAGTTTATGTTCATATATCTATCCACCCAACTCCATTTATTCAATCAATGAACTGACTTTGAGGCACCAAGCTTCTGGGTATGAATGACAAACCTCTGAGCATGAGGTCATGGTCCCTGCCTTTATGAAGCTCTGAGTCCAACAGAGACAGGGCACCATATGATGAAGTACAACAGATGTCATCATAGGGAAAGAATGGAGAGCTAGAAGAGTCATAGTGGGAGTACCTGACCACCACTGAGATTTCCTTTAGGAGATCAGAGAAGCAGTTTCTACTGATGCAATCTTATAATTGAAAGAAATGATGAGTCACAAAGGTTTTGCCACTATTTATCATATTACTTGAACATTGGCCTTTACTGTATGTCTTATATCTTAAAACAACTTACCTTGTCCTTGGGAACAGCCAGAACAGGTCCTGATGGACACACAGTCAGTGAGATCAAAATTAACAAAGGTTGTGTTAGATATTATCAGTTCCCATCTCTTGGGAGTTTTGATCCCAGCTGACATACACTGGCTTTCCTGTGATTTAGAAAGAAGAAAAAAAAAAGACGGGAAGTAGACACATGAAATACAATTTGTAATATGTTAATAAAAACAAGAGAATAAAAAGACAAGCTATAGAGTGGAAAAAAAATATTTGCAAATCATGATATGACAAAGGATCACAGTAGAACGCACTATCCACATATTAGAATGATTAAAGAAAATATAGTGATGATACCAAGTGCTGATAACTTCCACATGGCCATAAAAACTATGGAATATGGGTTTGCATTTTCTTATCAAGTTAAACACACTCTTATCATATGACCTAGCAATTCAACCCCTAGGTATTTATTTACTTTTAAGAAATTAAAATTTACATTCACACAAAAACCTTACAAAAATGATTATAATAGTTCCACTTGTAATCACCAAATCTGGGAACAACTCAAATTTCCTTATACAAATGAATGGATAAGCACATTGTACATCCAAATAGTGGAATACTACCTGGCAATAATAAGGAATAAAATCCTGCTTCTTGCAACAAGTTAGGTAAATCCTGAAGGCATTTGGGAGTGAAAGAAGCCAGTCTCAAAGGTCGCATACTATCTGATTCCATTTCAAAAGACAAAACGATAGTGACAGACAATAGATTAGAGATCCCCAGGGGTTAGACTTGAGAGTAAGATGTGGCCACAAAGATGAAGCCTGAGACAGTTAGTTGGGTTGAACCAACTGTTCTGTATCTGGATTATGGTGGTGGTGGTAGTGTTTACCCAAATGTATACGGATGTTTAAAATCATAGAATGGTACATCAAAAAAATAGTTTTACTGTATATTAATTTAAAAATTAAAATTAGAAAATCTAAAAAAAAAAACCTGCTTCTAGTATTCTCCGCAAAATCTCTTCAACAAACTGTCTAATCAAGTTGTTAGTGTTTCACTGTTCAACACTTGAAAATAATTGTATGCTGAGGATAACCAGACATTTGTCGACGGTCTCCACCATGAAAGACAGTGATAGAAAGAAAGAAGAAAAGTAATCCAGTGGAGACAAAACCAGTATAGAAATCAGAAGGACATTTAAACACTATCAAAAAAACCACAGAGAAATAACTATATTATAGCCATGAAGAAGCCCAAAATGGGATTTTTCAGAAAACAAAAAAAAAGAACAAAAACAGGAGAGCAGAAATAATCAATTCAATAGAAAAAAATTGAGGAAATATCCTTGAAAACAGAATAAAAAGACAGTGGGCAAATCAGAGAGAAAATTAAGAAAAGTAGAAAAACAACCGAGGAGGTCCAATATCCAAATAAAAATTCTTTCAAAAAAGAAAACAAGAAAAATAAGAGGACAGAATTATCAAAGAAATGACTTAAGAAAGCTACTCAGATGGGAAAGATATGTTTTCTAAATGGAAAAGTCTCATCCGTTCCCTAATACAGTGGTTACAATGAAAAACCACACAAGGTACATCATCCTGAAACTACATAATACCAGGAACAAGATTCCAAAAACTTCCAAAGCAGAAAAACCAAAAGGTTACATATAACTGACCAAGAATCAGAATATCTTAAACTACTCAACCTCAAAACTAGAAGCTGGAAGGCAGTGGAGCTTTGCCTTCAAATTGTCAAGGTAAAATGAACTGCAAACTGCTATTCCATAACCAACAACCTAGGAATAAGAGGGTCTCCATTTGTAACTCAAAATATATACTTCCATAGCCCCCACTTTGTTAAGAAATTTAATATTGGCTATGTTCTAATAAAATAAGAAATTAAATCACAAAGGAGGAAAATGTGGGAATCAGGAACAAGAGATCCAATATTAAGGAGACATGCAGGAAAACTCCAAGATGATGGTCAGGAGAAATTTCAGGGTGCATATGTGACACTCTTCTCCCAAACTACTGGTGCAAGTATAAACACTTAGGATTGTTGTTTCGCATTATTTGCTAAAACTGAATGGATATCCCATGACTCAGCAATTTTACAATTTGGCATATATTCAACAGAAGTACATGCACACGAACACCAAGAGACATACGGAAGAATGTTCATGAAATCATTACTGGTAATAGCTGAAAACTGGAAATAATCAAATGTCCATCAATAGCAACTGTTGTATAGGGGTGCCTGGGTGGCTCAGTCTCTTGAGCATCTAACTCTCAATTTCAGCTCACATCATGATCCCAGGGTAGTGGGTTCCAGCCTGGTGTTGGGCTCTGTGCTGAATGTGGAGGTTGCTTAAGACTCTCTCTTTCTCCCTCTCTCTCCCTGTGACCCTCCCCAGCCCTTGCTCTATAAACAAATGAACAAATAAATAAATAAATAACTGTGGTATAGTCATGAAGTGCAATACAACATAACAATTGGAAGTACAAGTTATTGAAACTTATAAAAACATGAATGGATACCATAGACATAATGTTGTGCCAAAGAAATCAGGCACAAAAGAGTTCCTACTCTATGATTCCATTTATATAAAGATCAAAAACAGATTTCAAATTAACCTATGCCTATAGAAGTCTGAGTAATGGTTCCCCTTTGGCCAGGGAGCTGGGGAATGGGGTTGGGTGGGAGGAGCCATGAAGGGGCTTCAAAGGAACAGATAACGTTCTATTTCTTGATCTGGGTGGTATGTCCATCGCTTTTGCTTTATAAAAATCTATCGAGTTCTTTGCTTGTGATTGGTGCACTTTTCTCTATAAATGTTATGCTTCCATGACACATTTATTTTAAGAAGTGGAACAGATACTAAAGACAAGTAGCATACAAGAAGGGAAGGAAGAAAGAAGCTGAAAGAGTTTAAGGTCATTTCATTGTTAAGGCAAAATTTAAGGATGCTGTTGTAATTTAGACTTCATTAAGACAAACAGGCCTGTTGAAAATTTAAGGTCGATAACTAAAATAACCAAAACAAAACGAGTAACTTTCAAACAGGCAAACATAAAAAAAAGATACCCTTCAATGCAAGACAAATCAAGTTTGAAAAGTAGAAAAAAAAAAAAAAAAAAAAAAAAAAGAAAACTGACTGCAAAGTGGGAGGACAAAGTAAAATGGTAGAAATAAGTGCAAATATATGGGAGACATCAGCATGTCTAGTAATTGAAACTACTAGAGAAAATGAGATTTCTCCCAGGGAGAGCAAGTGCATTGAGAAGAGAAGGGGCCTTACAACAGAATGTAGAGAAACAGAACAATGAAAGGTCTACATTAAGGAAGACAAATCCGCAAGTGAAAATAGGAAATAACCCCAGAGAAACAGGAGGAAGAATGAAGCCACCCATCAGCATCTGCCTAAATAAGATACATGTTAAGCTACTGTCATCTGCTCAAATTAATTACAATAACAATGAGAAGATAACCAAGCTACAGATACTTCCCAAAGTCAGGTGACCATAATTTACATCCAAATCAGGCCACTTTTGAGAGTGAAAGGGGATGCTAATGAAATAGGATGTTAAGAAAACTGGCACAAATAAAATACAGTCATACTGGGGAGCATAGTGATAGGAGAAGACATCTCTTGTTCTTCTGTATTAAAGCCATCCTCCCTGCAAGCTATTCCACCCACCTCAATATAAAGGTAGTGTTGACCAGGAGGTTACCAACATACACACAAATATACTTACAAGACATAATTTCTTTTAATAAAAAGTGTTTCCCGGAAAGTAGTGTTTGTTTTAGGCTAGGACTCACTGGTAATGGCGTGCCACCAATTAGGTGTGGGTGGAAGGTCTAAGAATAGATAGGCCACAAATCTAAATTCCTGAAGGAATGGCAGGCACAGAAGACAGAAGCTAAAATCAGAGTTCCCCAACCACAGACAGGTCAGGCCTCCTTTTTTCTCTCTTTTTTTTCTTTTTAACAACTGACACAGTTTCATGTGGCAATAAAGAGATTCCCAAATAAATCTGAGAAATACTGCATTACATAAAGATGTATAGATATTTTCCTTTTTTTGTTTTTAACCCTATAACTTCACAGAGCCCTTTAAGTGTTAATATGGAATATAAATTTCAGGGGATGGGTATATGGTAAGCAGAATATGATAATTATAATTAACCTAAGAATCTTGCTTTTCCCAGACTCCCTCTTGGAAATAGCCTTGCATGAAAAATACTACAGGAAATACTGGAGTAGGCAATGCTCATTGCCAAAGCTATATTCCACGTGTGATTTGAAGAGTATTTGACCAAGGGTGAGAGGGTACGCTGGTAATCCTAGCTCCACAATACTGGGCATAGATCTTGGGCTATCATTTGACCTCTCAAATTCTCCATCTGTTTACCGGTAAATTCATAAGTTTTAACTAGATCAACTTCTAAGGGATAATTAGATCTAAAGTTCCATGGTTTTATGCTTTGTGTGCCTAACCAGGATCTAGATCTCTTCTAGAACAAGCTGTTTAATATCTATTCAGGGACTTTTCTCCTGTACTTTCTTTAAAACTGAGAGACCCTAGGCTGCATTTCATTCCTGGTGAATCACACCCCAGGGACAGAATTATGTTTTATTATCTCGTGATAAACACCCTTTTGGCATAATTTGTATCTTAGTTTGTATCACTCTCCCCTAAATTATGATGTCTACTTAGTATCAATTAAGAGGCTGTGACATTAATTTACCAGGACAGTTAGTGACTCAGCCTGATGGACATTTGTTTTGGCATCTTCTTTACGGTTATTTCCAAGGAATTTAAGGGCCTTTCATCTACCGGTATCATAGAATCTAAATCCGGGTTCCATCCTCTCTTGAAAATTCTGCAGTCAAAAAAGAAGATTTATCTCTCAAGGTAGTAATCCTTTCAGAGAAAAGGAAAAATGGGGAGGTATTTCCCTCCGGAAAACGATGGTTCAAAAAATATTTAATTAACTTTGAGAATTAAACATAAAAAAATGAAGCTTAAGAAAATTATTTTTTAATCTTAATATTTTTATCTATACCTACACAATAGCCTCCAAGAGCTATACTTATTTAAATTTCAATGGGTCAAGGTATTCAGGACAAAGTAAAGAACTTGTTCTTTCCTTTGTTTCCAGAAGTACAGTAGGTCTCTTTCATCTATGATTGTTATGACAATGTGATATCAATATACATGTAGCTCTTTCTAGAACTCTTTTAAGAACTTAAGGGGGTCCATTACAGGTGTGAAGCCTACTAAGACCAATGCCAACCCTGGACTTCCCTTAAGGGGAATTACTACTTCTAGTTCTGCATCTGGGAAATTTGTTTTGCCTCATCTACATTCTGGTACCCTGGTCATGCAATGGCAGAGAAGTCATCTGTAGTCTGATATTTATCATGTAGAAACCCACGCTTAGGCAAGTATTAGGGAATCATCTAAGGTACTCTAGTATACTATGTATACTAGTATAAATTCATGTTACCTCTTTGGTGAGGAGGGGCACTCTAAAAACAATAAGGACCCTATGAACAAAATGTTTATATTGAAACATGGCAAACTACAATACAAAGAGAAAATGTGAAGTTTTGCTAAAATCATTAGGTTTATTACTGAATTGCAGTGAAAATAATGCTAAATTGCAACCAAGTAAGAATTTGGCAAGCTACTCATGACTTTTAGGATTTATATGGACTCATAACGTTAAAAACTTGTGTACATTTGAATTTCATCAAAGATACCACCACTGTTACAAATAAAAAGTTCTTCTAACCTCTACCAATTAAACCCAAGATTCACTAAAGAATACTATTAAAATTACATACCCTGGGTCACTAGGGAACCGAGCACGAACAATTCTGTTTTGATAGTCTAAAACAACTACACTAAGGCACTTACCTTGTGAGCAAAATGACCAAGTAATAAGCTGTCAGTAACTGAAGTATTTGCATCACTTTCCAAGATGTCAATTCCAAAATCTCTGCATGAATAAACTTGGAAGTTTTTCAGGTGAAGATTGCTACTTCTAAAAATCTATAAAATAACAGCATATGTTATGGCAAAGGTCTGAGGCTTGGTTTTTCTTGCAGACTTCCTATAGCTTCTTTAATTATTGATTAAGTATAAATAAGCATGCTATACCACATTTAAGCAGCTTTTGTCCATCAATATCTGTACAGACATCCCAAAGTTGCTGTCAGGTCAGTACTAACTAGTCCCTTTTGGTAACATCCCCTCTGTACTTTTCATTTCTCCTCGTAATAACTGTTACATTAAAAATGTCAGTGTGGGGGTGGGAGGGAGGAGAGGGTGGGTGATGGGTATTGAGGAGGGCACCTTTTGGGATGAGCACTGGGTGTTGTATGGAAACCAATTTGACAATAAATTTCATATATAAATAAAAAAAAAAATGTCAGTGTGAATTCTTCACTTATCTAAAATAAACTTGCAATTGTCAAATCACACAAAATTAATGGAGAAAAACAGAGCATCCAAGAACTCAAATACTTACTATTTTCTTCATGGTAGTATATGTTACTATTATTATAAAAAAATATAATTATGAAATAAGTAATTCCAAATGACTACAGATTAAAAATGTGCTATGTGCATATATATTTATGACAACTTGGGTGAGTGGGCCCAAATAGGGATTGAATATTAACAAAATTAGTTTGTTAGAGTTGAAAGAATCCCACTAGTTTGGAGGACAGAGCTCTTGGTTTTGACCTACCACTGATATTAACTAACTATATGATCTCAGGCAAGACATTGAACTTTTCCTGGACTTCAATTCAACCATCTTCAAAATCAAGGTGGAGGTCTGGACTAGCAAATTACCTAACACAGCATTTATTTCTTTATTAAATAGGGTCATATTTACATTCATACCTTCACGTGGAAGTTTCCTATTAATTAAGGCCAAAGTAGCCTTGATTTATCATAGTATCGTGCTTCTACTTGTCAGTCGGTCTTTACGCTTGAATTTTCATGAAACAAATAGCTTGCATATCTCATTATGTATGAGCCAACAGCTTTTACAAAATGATACATCTTTGAAGACACGAAGGTTTATTTAAACAAAATAAGCATAATCTAAACTGTTAACTTGGTAAGAATTGTGACCTATTTACAAGCATCAGCCCAAGATCTGGCAAATATACTCATATTTAAAAACAGCTAACACCTCACATTAGCTAGAGAACCTGGTGATTTTAAAAGAAAACTAACACACAGTAGCAAAAATCATCTATTTGTTGTGTGAATACACCTTTCAGAAAGTGCTTTCATCTCTCTCTCTTCTAAAAGAATCATTTTGCATTTATGAGACATGGTGAGGAAAGGATATTCTTCTCAACTCTTATTAACATATATGTTCAAAGGTCACATTGAGTTGGAATCCAGCAATTCTTAGCTGTATGACATTAGTGCTCTCCCTTTCCCTCTCCCTCTCTCTCTTTTCCTCTCTCAAGAGTGAGAGGGAGAGTGAGAGAGAGAGAGAGATGGAGAGAGGGAGGGAGCGAGGGAGAGAGGGAGAGAGGGAGGGAGAGAAGGAGGGAGAGAGGGAGGGAGAGAGGAATCTCTAGTAATGGCACAGTTCCCCCCAAGGTTATTAAGATCATTAAATGAGAAAATATCAATATCAATGCCATCAAATATGAATCTATGTTTATACACAATTGAAATTTTACCCAATGGAATCTTCTGTTCAAGTATCTGTATACATGACACTTATGTCTAATGACCAGAATATAGTCAGATATACCTAATAATGAAAGTTTACGAAATGTGAACACAATGTATTTTTATTGGATGCAGAAAGTATTTATCAATGTTAAAATGTCCAGAGACATCACTGTTAACATTGATCTATCACTACCTACTCCTATTCACTAACAATGGTAAGAATAAGGGCTGCTACTATGTAAACACAAAGATCCAGGCATCCTTATGGGCACCTATTTAACTCTCAACACAAACGTATCCTTTAGGTATGATTACTCTTTCCACTTTATGAAGAAAAAATAATGGGATTTGCCTAACATCACATAGGGAGGACTTGGCTACTTTCACTGAACATAATGTTTCCATAAGTTCACTCATGTTGTAGCATATAACAGCACTTCATTTCATTTTTTCTGGCTCAATAATATTCCATTCTACTGATATACCACACTATATTTATCCATTTGTCCAATGTTGAATATTTGAGTTTTTTTCACCATTTGTCTATTATGAATAATGCTGCTGTAGGCATTTGGTTATAAGTCTCTCTGTGGATCTATGTTTTATTTCCTTTAAATACCTAGGAGTAGATAGATCATATCATACACATATCTTTATGTGTAACAATTTGAGGAACTGCCATACTGTTTTCTGAAGCATCTAGACCATTTTAAATTCTCATCGACAGTGTGTGAAGGTTCCAGCTTCTCCACATCTTCATCAACACTTGTTATCATTTTGATTCTAGCCATCCCAGTGGGTGTGAAGTGCTATCTCACTGTGGTTTTGACTTACATTTCTCCAATAACTAATTATGTTGAACATCTTTTTACATGTTTTGACCATATGTATATCTTCTTTGGAGAATTGTCCATTCAAATATTTTGCCCTTTTTTTAATTGGGTTGTCTTTTTACTGTTGAGCTATAGGAGTTCTTAATATATTCCAGATATAATTCCCTCATCAGATATATCATTTGCAAATATCATCTCCCATTGTATAGGTTGTGCTTTCACTTTTTGATGAGGTCCTTTGAACCACTAAAATGTTTAATTTTGATAAAGTCCAACTTATCCATTTTTCTTTTGTTGCTTGTTTTGGAGTCATACCTAGGAATCTTTAACTAAATCCAAGATCATGAAGATTTACTCCTTTGTTTTTGTCTAAGATTTTTTTTTTATACTTTCTGTTCTAACATTGTTTTTGATCCATTATTGAGTCAACTTTTGTAAATAGTATGAGGTAAGGATCCAACTTCATTCTTTTCAGTGTGGCTACCCAGTTGTTCCAGTGCCATTTATTGAGAAGACTATTGTTTCCCCCACTGAATGGTCTTGGCATCCTTGTCAAAAATCAACAGGGTGGATTTATTTCTGGACTCTCAATTCTATTCCATTTATCCATATTTCTCTTTGTGCCCATACCACACTGTCTTGATTACTATTACCTTATAGTAATTTTTTATACAAGGAAGTATAAATCTCTCTTATTTTTTTGCAGGATTGTTTTGGTGGGAATCACTTTTTAAATTCCCTATCATGTTAATTTTACTTTATTCTCCTCATAAAAGTGAAGTTACAAAAGAATTCACATTGTTTGAACTTTTTAATTAATTCGAGTGCACAAGAGTTTCATCTTTAAGAATCTGTTTTTTTTGTGTGTGTGTTTTTGTTTTTTGTTTTTATGGGTTTAGCATTTCTGACTGCAGAATTTGAGAAAACTGACTTTCATGATCATCTTCTAATATTCTCATTTTATTAGGTTATTTCCTTTAAAATAAAGCTATTCAAGGGCATGGAGACATTGCATAACTCTCTTCAAGTCATGAATTGCTTCTCTGTGTAAGAGGCCACTCAATCAATGTTTCCACTGGATTTGTCACCCCTTTACTCATGATGTTTATGGGAACAAAGTACTGTATAAATTCAATAAGAACAAAACACTAAAGGCAGTTGGGATTCTTCCTGTTAGCTACCCTAATTATACATTTTTGGGCTTTCCCCATCCACAGTTGTCTTCCTCTTGTTGGATATGTGAAATTAATGTCTAACTTTCTTAATGTAACTTAACTATATGTTTTTATTCTATTTCCTGAGTGCCCTGTAAACATATTGCTTCATCTACATATTTTAGGCTCCAGATTGCTAAATGACAGAGATCAAGTGTATGTAATTTTCTTTGTGTAGCACAAAATAGTGACCCTGGCTAATTTTACAAGTTGCTGTTAAGAGTGAGCATCCAAAGCTTCCTTACCAGAAATCATTGAAGTAATGAAAAGTGAATGATTGAACACAAACTTTTTCCCTTTTGAAGAAAATAGAACAAAACGTGGCTCATTGATAAAGGTAAGAATGACACTTTGAGCAGGAATTTTCATGTTCCAGGGATGAACAGTACTTTTTAAGACTGAAGCATGCATTACTCAAGATATTAAGGTACCAAATGCACAACATTTGGGGTCTGAATTCTGCAGCTGGTGGTGCTGTGTGACCTTTGGGAAATCCTTTTACTTTCTGAGCCTTAATTTTTATCTCTAAATAGGCATGGGAGATAAGAAACAGATGACCTCTATAATCTCTCCTGCTTGTAAATCTCTATCACTACGATTCTATTGTTCTCTAGTAGAGCTGCTGAAAAGTCACTTTAGAGGAAATGACTTGACCCTGGTTTCCTGAGTAGGAATTCGTTCATTCAACAACTTTTCCACACATCTATGATGCTGTTTGTCCCATACAACTATGATAATATTGCAGTGGCTCCCATACTATCCCCATTTAAATAGAGATGCATAATAAATCACCATGAGAAAACAAATGACAATTTAATAAAAAACTAACACAGCTTACCTGGGCACCACCTGCACTTCCCCAAACCGTGAAGTTTTGGAACACGGTGAGGCCCTTGCCATTATCCCAAGGTGGCTGAAATTGAGGGTATACAAAGAGGCCACACCTCGAAAGCAAAACAAAGAGTGAAAATCAGCCACTTTCCATGTTTCAAATGTCCCACTTTTTCACATTGGAAAATATAAAATGAAGGTAATGAGTAAGGACAATAGAGATAACGTCCTTGATCCCTTGTCCAGTCCAGCATTGCCCATCCCTCAGTCTTTCCTCTCTGTTACCCTCTATCACCTGCTCTTGACTGTTCTCCCAGTCTCTCTCTAGGTTCACCCTTCCTAGGGGTGTGGATACCTGTGCCTTGCCCATCAGAACATTCTAGAAAGTGAACACCAGCACTGTTCTCCCTCAAACTTTTGTTCTTCTCCTTGAAAGGTCCTACTTTCACAGTATTCTGGGTACCTTCTTTGCTCACACTACAGGGCTTCTGACAGCTCCTTGGTAAAACGTCATAATCTTCATGATAAATTCATGACATATGTGCTAATCCTATCTTCAGCTGGCCCTTCAACATAACACAGCAATTGTTCTTAATCCTTATTCCACTCATCTATCACTATCCATCATAGCAGTATTCCTACACTATTATCATTGTAATTATTTATAGCTATCAATTTTTGAGTTCCTACTGTATTCCAAGTGTTCTCTTATGTACATTAAATGAGTCATCTCTAAAGATCACATCAAACTTTCAGTGTAGATCTGAAATTTTATAAATGAGGGACCTGACTCTTAAATAAACAACAACCAACCCAGTTTTCTAGGAGTAAAGTCAAAATTTGAAGTAGGGCCTGACTTTGAAGTCTGAATTTTTCCCATGTTTCCAACATACTTCCCAGATCTTGCTCTTAGCAGAAGACCTTACTTCCATGTACCAAAGATATTGAACAAGTCCCCTTCCCTATTAATGGGTACATGTCACAGGCAAAGAGCCTCTTCCCAAAGGCTCCTCACCCCACTGGGCTCCTGAGACCAGTCACTCCTGCTTCCTGGTTGCTCCTAATCACTCGGAACTTTAACTTCTCTACTAAATTCTCCTCTGGACACAAAAGATGCCCTCTTTCCTGCTGCCCTCTCAAGTGACTTCCCCGTCACTTTCCTTCCCTTCAATACCAAACTTTTATGATCCCAAATGCATACAAAGGCACATCCATCAAATCTTACATGCATGCCCCAGATTACACCCTCTCTGAGAGCATTGTACAAAAAAAATGTTCAATTATTACCCTTACATCAAAATTACAGATGAATTTCCCCAAGGTTACCTTGTACAAGAATGTGCAATATTCTGACTGAAGGAGAGAAGTGGAGATTGTGATGCCTGGCTGGTCACAAGATGAAAAAAGTAGCCCAAACCAGCAACATACACCCTGTTTCCCTACAGAAATTAAGGATAGTTAAATAATAGTTATTCCAGATACAATGAAGTTGCCAGAGAGAAAGACTCTTCTATGTGAATATTCTGCTTTTTTATTTACCTTCTGTTGAGGTATATTCATACTTCCATTTACTCTTCACACACTGCCATCTTTCCCCCAACCCTGCCTCACCTCAGGGATCAGAAATACTCTCATTTTTCTTCCCCCACACAGCTCAGCTCGACTGTAATTTGTCAACCTTAATATGTGATATCTCATGTTAAAATGTTCTTGTAATCTTCCATACAGGGAATCTTACTTTGTCATCAATCCAAGCCCTCCTCTTTGGTGTACGCAACAGTATATAGGGGCAAAGGCGTACCTTAAAGCCAAGTCTACACAAAGCATCCTCTCCAATCCTTTGAACAAATCAAAGATTTGGCTATGGGATGAAGGCCAGTGGTTGTACTAACTATGCCTTAGTTCTGAGACATGGTGTCTGAGCTCAAACACATCTTGAATCTCCTCAGTGTACTTTATATTCATTAGATTAATCACCTTAATATTTCTTTGTTTTAATTTTTTTTATTATTATTATTTATTCTTGAGAGACAGAGCATGAGCGAGGGAGGGGCACAGCGAGAGAGGGACACAGAATCTGAAGCAGACTCCAGGCTCCGAGCTGTCAGCACAGAGCACGACGTGGGGCTCAGACTCATAAGCTGTGAGATCATGACCTAAACCAAAGTCAGACGCTCAACCAACTGAGCCACCCAGGTGCCCCAACCTTAATATTTCTTTATACGATTTCCTATCTAAATAATTTGATGTATTTTATATGTTCATATAAAACTTAAATTCTCCATTAGACCATATCAGTTTTGGGCTATAATTCTGATCAAATTGAACACAATGGATTATCTTTCCAAACTCGATAATGTACCTACAATTTAATCATCACTGTGTAATATAATTTAAGAGGGAGTAGAAAACTAACTCCCTGAAGAGTTTATTATTGTACACAAAGGTCTTTTGGTTGGCCTACCTAATGTTCACAAAAATGGTTACTTTGTTTCCAACATTTTGTTTATTTTATTATAATTTTTTAGAGACAGAGTAAATACACATGCAAGCAAGGGAGAGGAGCAGAGGAAGAGAGAGGGACAGAAAGAGAGAGGGAGAGAGAGAAAAAGAGAGAGAGAGAGAGAGAGAGACGGAGAGAGAGAAAGTGTGTGTGTCTTCAGCAGGTCCCATGCTCAGCTCCGAGCCTCACATGGGGCTCGATCCCACAACCCCTTGGGATCATGACCTGAGCGGAAATCAAGAGTCAGAGGCTCAACTGACTAAGCCACCCGGGAGCCTTTATTTCCAACGTCTTAAAATCGGGAGACTTGATATAAAAATTCAGACTTTCAGTTTTTTAATAATACTGAGCCCAAATTCCTATGGGATAGCCAGGGAATTATGGCTATCCTTCTTGGATTATGGCTATTTTTTCATAGGCCACACCCTTTCTGCTTCACTTATATATGATTCTAGCCCAGCCCCTATGGATATCTGAATTTGCAACCTCTAATGTCAGGCAGTAAAGTAAATAGTATGTTGGCTATTCTTTGTTTCAGCAGGAGGGAAGAAGGGCCAATAGACCAAGCTGCTGGACTACTTGCTATGCAATTCTGTGCACGTTTTCTCTCTCAGCTGGAGAGGCTGGTCTGAGGCCAAGATGCTCATGTCTACCTACAGAACAGAACTCAAGAAATAGGCTCCTCAGCCAGCCTCAGGTCTACAGGGACAAAGGAAGCTACAGAGACTTCCACACACTTTATCCCTGATCACTTGGGGGCATGACATGGCCTAGCTGGTAAGACAGTGAGAAAGCTGGAGTGTCCCTTCCATGAGCAACTCATTTCCTGGGAGAATGTGCTACGGGACTAGGACACCATCAGGTCATAGAAGAGAGAATGTAAAGCAAAAGGGATTGTGATGCTGTGGCACCCAACAAGGCATTAAATGTCTTTCTATAAAACAATACGTCAGTGCCACAGTTACCTATATATAGGGCTTGGTGGGACTGTCCTGTGAATGTCTCGTTAAAACAGTTTTTTAAACTTTACTGTGCATGTAACATAGAGTTGTAACAACATTTAGCAAACAAAAACACTGAAGCCCAGTGAGATTTAAATTTCAGATTGAAAACACTATTTTTTAATATGAGTATATCTCAAACATTGTATAGGATATACTTTACTAAAAATGTATTAGTTATATTTCAAAGATTTAAATTTATCCACGTATGCTGTGTTTTGTTTAGAAACCCTAACCTGGGGCATATAATATACAGATTTTTAGGCCCCACCTCTAGATATTCAGACCTAGCAGGTGCTGAAAATTATGGTGAAGGGTTGGAGGACAGTATTCTGTACTTTTGAGCACCATAGGTGGTTCCAATATCGTTGATCTTTTGAGCCCATTTTGACAACTACTTCTCTGGAGGTGACTGAGATACTAACACTATACTGTTTAGTCATCAAGGGCTCCAGGAGATGTTCAAAGACAGGAGAGACACTGGAAAGAATGAACTTCCTGGTGACTTTCCCATGAGCTGCCTTAGCAGCCCACTGCCCATGGAAGCCATGGTAGAAAACTGAAGGAGGATAGAGACCTAGACAATTAGGTTGGGAATCTGTTACCAGATCCCCACAAAAAGATGATCTAACTCAGTACAAGTTATATTTATTTTCAATTTTTCTTTTCCTTAGAAATAATTACCTTTTTCCTAATTTAGAACTAAGTGTGATAATAATACTCATAGTAAAGATTTCTAAAGAAGATGCTATTGTCCAGGTACCAGATTTTAGAGTCTCCTTTACTTTCACAATTCTGAATTATGTATTATTATTACAGTTTCACATACAAATCAAAGCCAAACTGAGATACCACCTCACACCAGTCACAGTGGCTAAAATGAACAAATCAAGAAACTATAGATGCTAGCGAGGATGTGGAGAAATGGAAACCCTCTTGCACTCTTGGTGGGAATACAAACTGGTGAAGCTACTCTGAAAAACAGTGTGGATGTTCCTCAAAAAACTGAAAATAGAACTACGCTATGACCCAGCAATAGCACTACTAGGAATTAACCCAAGGGATACAGGAGTGCTAATGCATCGGGGCACATGTACCCCAATGTTTATACCAGTGCTTTCAACAATACCCAAATTATGGAAAGAGTCTAAATGTCCATTCGCTGATGAATGGATAAAGAATATTTATATATAAAATGGAATATTACTTGACAGTGAGAAAGAATGAAATTATGCCATTTACAGCAACGTGGGTGGACCTGGAGGGTATTACACTAAATGAAATTAGTCAGTCAGAGAAAGACAGATATCATATGTTTTCACTCATATGTGGATCTTGAGAAACTTAACAGAAGACCATGGGCAAAGGGAAGGTAGGAAAAAATGTTACCAACAGAGAGAGGGAGGCAAACCTTAAGAGATTCTTCAATACAGAAAACAAACTGAGGGTTAATGGGGGTGGTGGAGAAGAGGGGAAAATGGGTGCTAGGCATGGAGGAAGGAACTTGTTGGGATGAGCACTGGGTGTTGTATGTAAGGCAATCTGATAATAAATTATATTAAAATAATGAATTAATAAATTAAATAAAATGCTACACTTTTACCCTAAAAAAAATTATTACAATTTCACAAAGAAATTGAATCTTGTAGATGTTGAGTGACTTCCTCAAAGTCACAGAGCTAATAACTCAGAGCCAACTCAATTCATGTCCAAACCTGGAAGTGTCAGAGATTGTGGGCTAAAGGAGAGAAATAAAGGCAAGACCCAGAATCAGGATGCCAAACAATGGGGCACAAGTGAAGAAATGTAAACAGTAGGGTGCAATGCAAAGTCATGTCACCAGGTCAAGGGCAGAACCAAAACGAAGTCCATAGGCCTTCCCAATAGTGGATAAAATATACTGAGCAACATTCTTTGCAGAAGTCAATGTATCATGGACATTCTAGTGGGAGACATTCTAGAGAAAAATTAATTAAGTGTCCAAGTAAATCAGCTCCTTGAAAGATGCATCTGTGGTCATGAGAAAAGAGTAACTTAACCCTTCAGATACCAGGTAAAATCTGTTGGACAAGACTGGAGTATTGTTTGATATTGCTACATAAATATAGATTTCCTAAAAATTGAACATCATTTTTCAGTTCAGACTTGACTAAGAGTTGTTCTGTTCATACCAAAATTCCAGACAGTATAAAATCCCTACCATTCCTAGCAAATGGAAAAACAGCATGCTCAGCTCAGAGGGCACAGAGAGTCACATGGGTGAGGATGTGAGCTAATTCCCAGTAGTCAACAGGAAAAGACATTTTGAAGAGTATGTTTAAGGAAGATGAGGGGTCTTAAACTCCAGCATTATGGGATTGAGCATTATCAAGACATCGACATAAAGTTAATGAGGACTGTCTACTGACATAGTTGTTTTGAACAACAGAAGAAAAAATTGAGATTTGGGGAGTATATTCCCATGATTCATCACTTATATACAACACCCAGTGCTCATCCCAACAAGTGCCCTCCTCAATACCCATAACTCAAGCTTTGCACAGTGGCAGTATTGTACCCAATGAGGTTTATCCGAGGCGTGATTATTGCTAATTGAAAACCCAGTGTCCATAACTCATTTTCCCAACCCCCCCCCCAACCACCCACCCTCATCAACCCTCAGTTTGTACTCTGTCTCTTCTGGTTTGCCTCCCTCTCTGTTTTTAACTTATTTTTCCTTCCCTTCCCCTCTGATCTTCTGTTAAGTTTCTCAAATTCCACATGAGTGAAAACATATGATATCTGTCTTTTTCTGACTGACTTATTTCACTTAGCATAACACCCTCCAATTCCAACCATGTTGTGGCAAATGGCAAGATTTCATTCTTTTTCATTGCTGAATAGTATTCCTGTGTGTGTGTGTGTGTGTGTGTGTGTGTGTGTGTGTGTGTGTGTG